CTTGGGACAAGTGACTTCTCAAGACCCGGTCTCTGATGGGCCGTCTCTGCAAAGCTCGGCTCCACTGCCTCTGCAACGAAAGTTTTCTGTAGTACTCATTTCCTCCAACACGGTGTCTCTGATTCACACGATCTCTGGTCTTCTATTTCTCTGCCGGTTTCAGTGTCTGCAACACGCAGTCTCCAGTAGACACTGCCTCTGCTTCGTCCTGTCTCTGCATGTCTCAGTCTCTGCAACACGGAGTCTCTGCTTGAAACGGTGCGTGCCTCAACCGACATCTGCTTGACTCGATCTCTGCCTCACCCAATCTTTGCTTGACATTCTCTTCGACCCACTAGGTCTTTGCATGACACTGTCTCTCACACATGTCTCTGCTTGAAGCGATCTGTGCCTCACCCGGTACGTCGAACCAGGTCTTTTTACAGACGGCCTGGCATATATAGGATGAGATCGGTTCGTGCAAGCCCGATCCCTGTAGAGAACGCGGACATTTCAGACAGTGTGCGGTACACACCGTGTCATGCAGATATCGGTTCTGGCAGGGATATTGTGGGGATGATATTGAAAAAATTATCAAATTTTTCAAAATTTTCAAAAAATTCAGGAATTTTTTTTTACAAATTCCCAATACAAATTTATAATAATAATTAATAATGTTTCCTTCTTTGCTGCAAACAATAATTCTCTTTATTTTTTGTAGCTCCTAGATCAACTCCCACATTTCTACATTTCGTAGGAAAGTAATTAAAATTAATGTGTTCGTCGTGGTTGGAATCAACTGCAAACTATTTATATTTCCAATATAGCATTTATTTACGATCTTCCTCCATCAATTTGTCTCTGTGTTTGTATGAGTAATCTCTTGCATTCGGTAGGTTCTTGACGACACAAGTCGACATCAGGAGTCTACTAATATTCATGTTTGTCACCTGGTGCCTGCAATTTTAAATATTAAAAGTGAAAACAAACCCTTTTTCATCATCCACCAGTATTATCTACACTCAAGACAAGTTTTATCACATTTCACTGACACAGTTACAGAAAATATGTAGCTCAACATGCGATGATGTAACTCATGAAGGAATACGTCTTCTACCATAAATAATTTGTTTAGTATAAATTTAATAGAAATGCAATTTGAATGTCAGTGCATTTATGTAAAGAATTTGACCATTTTCTTCATAATATATATATATACTTTCTCTTTTGGGGTTCTAAAATATCAGAGATTTCGGTGTGGAACAAGTATAAAAGAATTAACTTTGTGAGTCGTAAAATGTGTTGACCTAAAAATATCCATGTCTCATGGGCTGGCTCTGTCTTTGGGTAGAATGGAAAACTTCTTGAAGCTAAGGGCACAGGCTTCCACCGAAAGTAACAGTTTGTGATTATACAGTTCTGAACAATGAAACAAACAAACAAACCATTTATCTTCCTTGTCATTGTAACGTTTGACACTGAAGTCAGCTTTCCCTCTGCAAAATCCACCGATGACAAATATCGTGTCGTCGATCACTTCTGCATTTAAGTTATATGAATTGAAATTCATGGCATGGATCACGGTCCACTTGTCTTCTACAGGGTCGTACTTTTCGGTATTGAGCTCCCATGATGAGTTCTTTCCTCCTATACACACACACAAATTCCGTAATAGGTCACAGCATATAAAAAATCAGCGGGGCCCTTCTTGATATTTGTAACTCTGTCACCTAGCCACGAAATTTTTGGCCTTTATAGAGCCACAAGATTCATTACCTTATTCACAAAAGTCTGTAGTTGACCTCATCTCACATACTCTAGATCCTTAAAAACATTTTAATATTATACTTCCTTTTAAGGCTATGTATCACAACTGGTGTCTTATCTTAAACTTTACCAATTATAACTTTCTAGATGTTTGTATTTCTCGTATCTTTCGTGCTTCACACTCCGACCGTCTTACCCGACGGACGATACGCTCTTAAAATTTATCCGTAAACTGAACGAATGAATTAAATAAAACGAAGAAAATTCATTTCCTTTTGCAGTGTTAATATTAGCGGCAGGAACGAAATTAAGGATGAAATAGCTACAATATTATTTTCGTACTTGTAGCATCAGGGAATTGCGCCTGACATCTGTTATCTGCTTCATGAACTGCTTGCGAAAATAGTGTTCAACAACAACACAAGATGCGCTGTTCAAAACGGCGTTACAAGAACAAGTAACGGAAAGCAAAGACTGCGAAGGGACTGCTTTAAACCATCGGCTTTTTGGGGATAACAGCACAGCAAACTGAAATTTCCTTGCTACAAGAACAAAATATTTACCTTTAAAACTGGGACATACGTTACTTGAAATACCACAAGAGATTATGCGTTGTTAGTTAGGTAGTTAGTTAGTTAAGTGTTCTTTGTTGAGAATTTAATCGAAACCACGAATCGAGGTTAAAATTACTGACAAACTAACTCTGTAATGACAGGAGAAAAATGCTGTTCATAAAATATCAGTCACACAAAAATAAAACCAGGAAGACATTTCACAATAGCAAGTTCTGTAAAAATGATAGAGGAGCATCACTCGGAATGTCCAGAGTTCTCACCTAGGGCGTACAGACAGCCGTGGAACGCGACGCAAGAAAAATTCTTACGTTCAGAAAACATTGATGCAACGAACGTCCATTGGTCGGTGTCCGGGTCATAGACTTCCACCGAGGTTAGATAACTATACAAATCTGTAACTCCACCAGCGACGTATATTTTATCTGTAAAAACCAATTACCTATATGACACGAACTGTACACATATTTGGTGTAGGAGGAGGCATTATACCGGGTCATGTAGATCACAGACATGGGATAATCCCTACTTAAATTTGTAAATCTACTAATGATATTGTATTTAATCTCCCCCTTCGTGTCACAGAAACTGCACAAACACGGCTTTCTCTGTTCATCTGTTTCTTTGTTTCGAAATCAGACAATCAGCGTGTCAAAGAAAACGATTTTAACTGATAGAATTTAAAATAAACAGCATAAACTGATTAAATTAATGCATAATGGAAACGATGGTAAGTTACATCTTCTTTGAAAGGAATTTTATTTGATTTGGTACCAGAGATGTAAGGTACAAACTGCTAAAAGTGCTCTACATTTATAATATAATATGTTATTTACGTGAGATTATTAAATGTCTCAAAAAAACTTATTACATCTGTATTATATAAGAGCCAATTTGATAGTTTGATGGTTGTTTGCATTCACTCCTAGTGTACAATAAAAAGGCAAAAGATGATGCACAGAGACATCTTACGAGAGCAAAAGAAACCATCACGCACTCAGAAACTTCAAGCCGTTGCAGTCTGTGAAAAAACGTAGTACGTAGCACGGATAAGATAAAGAGGTATTAAAAGAATATGGGACAATAGAATGAGGGAAACTAAGACCAAGTTGAAGAGGAATGCGTTGATGATGAAGGCATAAAGTTCGTCTTTAAACGTCGGCAGAAGCCAAACGACAGCCATCTTTATATTAGCCACCTAACATAACCTAAAATCCTGCGATTCCTTCAAACGTTCTTGCGTTGTTAAAAGCGGACAGACTGACAGACTAATTCACACGTTTCTGTTTCACAGGATTTACGTACCATTCAGTACGGCCGCACTTGCATCGGATCGCTCTGTGTTCATAGAATCGATCCACCACCACTTGTTCTTCTTGCAGTCGTATCTTTCCGCCGTTCTGTGTTTCACACTTTTGCCACCGCTACCACCCATGGCGTACACTGCACCTCGCAGAACAGCCACACTTAAACCGAGTCTGAAACGAAAAAAAAGTACACGCTCTGCTATGCTCATTTATTGCTGATTAAAAGATGCATTTCCTCTCGCAGAACGCAATTGTTCGCTCGTCATTGTTAAATCATAATTCACATGAATTTAAAAAGCAAATCGTATTCTTAAAATCAACATTGTCGCATTCACACTTTTCACGATGCTCCTGTATGTGAGTGGTACAATTGTATATCCCCTTCCCACATTTATATCTTGACTAACATAGCGACTATCAGCTTTTTAAGAAGGACTCTGTTCCAAGGAGTTCCTTAGTTACCAAGCTGCATCTTACCTGCGTTCATGCATAGGCGACACCTCGCGGCATGTCTTCGTAACAGCGTTGAAACAGCGACATGAATTTAAACCTTCAGAGCCGTCGGAACCACCAATGACGTAAATGTCGAAACCGACCACTGCCGTGCCATAGTCGGATCTCGTACCGATCGAATCGACCCCCTCCACCTGCAGGAACGACAGATTATGGATTTATGTTTCTCTGGGTCATTCAGTCTTCTAAAGTGAAGTCCTTACATTAGAGTTCAAGCGACCAACCACCGGAGCACAGGTACAACCCGAAACAGTGGACCGAAATTGCTACTACGCAGATGACAAACATCGACACTGATCAGTGATTCATTTATTACGTTGAAATACACTGACGATCAACGATGACTTCGTTTCATGTCTAAAATCAGCAGACAGGTTGCCATGACAGTTTATGTAGGACGCTTATTTTAAATGGTATTTAAGGCAAACTTCACATCTTTGGTCGATTCCTGTTAGAACTTACATTGAACATGAGACTCGGCATTTGTGTAATTTATTTATTTGTTTATTATTAAGATAGTGTAGTTGCGTCATAAACATGTTGTAACTGTTCCAATTGTAAATCGATTATTCGATATGGAACACAGAATGATATTTTAATTATTTTAATTATCTTATTTTAAATACATTGTGATTTGACGGAATAACCAAATAATTTAATGTTGTTTATTATTTTTAATTCATGTATCTGTAGCTTCTCACTGCGATGGAAATAAACGAACACGAAGTAAAGAGGAAACGAGATGCTTGTGATTAACCTTAAATAAACAATTACTTATCAAGAATTAGCCAAACGGGGTGAATTTTTTTTCTCGGAGACGTCATTTAACAAGGCATAGTAAAAGTCGAAATTCGTGCAACTCACCACACTCCACCGGTCTGCTCGTACGTCGTACGCTTCGATCAAATCTGTATCTCTTGTGTTAGAACGCCCACCAATAGCAAAGAGAATGTCCAGTGGGATTCGAGGGTAGGCAATCTTTGGTGTCACGAATTCCTTGCGTTCTCCCTTCGTCATCATTTCCACGTCGTGCAGAAACGTCAGCGTCTCCGAGATCAATGGTCTGCACGCCTCATTCTCCGTCACGTAAGGGTGATTTGATAGCTGTTTAACAGTTCAATGTGGACCTTATAAACTTTTACGAATTGATTGCATGCTCCATTGCAGAGGAGACAAGAAATTCATACAAATTTTGGTTTGGAACTCACCGAAATAGACTATGGAATATACAGGTAAATATGTTTTTTGCTTTATATAACGACGTTCGTAATAAATGCACAGGTTGTAGAGAGAAGCGAAATCAAGATTAAATCGATCTTAGAAAATACTATTGAAATGTGTTTCAACCGAAAGTTAAATACTTCAGTAAGGTTTTCATTTTGAGTTACATTCAAAAAATGTAAATTATTTCTCGTCTCTCCCGCTCGAGATGCACATTCTTTTTGATTCGATAACTTTAATTAGTCGTCAAAATTACGTAACATCGAAAGGAAATTATGTCAATTAGTTGGAATTATACGTGACGAACATTTACATTAATTAGTTACGAACACGTGTGAATATGGAATTGAAAATGCGGGCTTCAATTCTCATAATCATCCACGATTTCAGGGGCAATACTGACCTCGTCCTTGAAAAATTTTGCGTCAAGTCGTCCCAGTCTGACGCCCTTCAAAAGGTCCGCGATGTGACCTTTCCTGTTGTCCGGGTCGTGGTTGATCCACCGGAGAATGCACTCCCACACAACTCTCTCGTCCGTCACGTTCAGTTCCTCGGTCCCGATTATCGCTTGCAGCTCCTCAACAGGCAGTTCCAAAAGTTCTTCGCTCTTCTGAGACACTTCCACGAAGTAGCGCAGAACGAAGCGACGAGCGGAAGTCTCGAGGTCGGCGATGAAGTATAACCTGCGACAGCGAGGGTAAGAATCGATCTCCTTCGAACTCTGAGATATTGAAACCCTGCAGCAGGAACTGGATTCTCAAGCATTTGCACACCAAAGTATTTCGCCTTCAGTTTTTAACTTAGCCCTTTGAAGCCCGAATGCGGGAATCGGATAATCGAGACTCGGTTAACAGAGGTTTTGCTGTATGCAGAAAGATATGGGGCTGATTGTTTTGGGAGGATTATGTAAGAAGCAAGGAATTCCCAATAGAAGGCAGATTTAATTATGACCATGCAATAAGGTCGCTTTTAAGCCACGGTGGTCTAGCGGTTAGAACGCTGGCCTTGTAATCCTGGGGGTCTCGGGTTCGATTCCCGGCGGTGCCCGAATTTATAACTTGTGTTGGGCAAGGCCGTGGTCTAGGCAACACGGAGTTTTCCTCCGTGGCATCCCAACAATTACTCCATTCACACACAGAAGAAGGCAATGGCAAACCACTTCTGGATCATCTGCCAAGTAAAGCTGGGGTCACAGCTAATGACAAATGAACATCAATTACCTTGCGAAATGCATGATGTCGATACAGTTGACGGCATCCATCGCGTCCTTGAGGAAGTCGCAGCAGAGTTCAGTAACGTCCTGTAAGCACAAGTAGTCAGCCGTCACGAGTAACTGACGCACGTTCTCGGAGTGGATGTCCATCTTACGAGAATAAACATAATTCAGTATGTGGGCCATCATGTCTGAGCTGACTCCGTGGAGGAGAATGTCAGTCTTCTCACTGGTGTGCAGTGTCGTCGTGAAGAGGGCCCTGAAACGTCGATTTGGAGAAACGGCGAGCAGAAAATTACAAGTCGTGCGCATAAACTTAAAGTTTTTTATGACTCACGTAGCCAAATTAAAGTATCCTTTTGTGTATGTGGTGGATAAAGTTTTGTTTCTTACATACACATATTAATTATTTGTTAATTATTTCACATATTAATCAACGACGTCATTAAATAGACAAACCTGAAATATGCGCTGAACGTCGAGAGAATTAATCTGCGGACTGGGAAGACGCCGCCGTCCTCTAACCTCAACACCGCGTCACATAAGAGGTTCTTCTCTCTCAGTACTGTCAGGGGGACAAACGTTTCGGTGCGATTTTGGTTTGACTCCATCTCCTGAAAAACATTCCATCACTGTTACAGATTTCTCTTCATACTGAGAGTGACTGAGAGGGAACACGATACTGAGAATAATATCTGGTCCTGCGAGAGATTTACTGACAAGGGAATCGTAAAAATTGCGTAATATGGAGCTTTATAGATCTCCTCACTAAATAATAAATTGTGGGCTGTCAGATCAAGGATGATTAAATGGGCTGGGCATGTAGAACACATGGCAAGAAGTACAACTTCTTGATCGTAAGACCTGAAACGAAAAGTTAACTCGAGGGTCCTCTGCGTTGTTGGGATAATATTAAAATGGATCTTAGAGAAGTGGGGAATGAAGGTGTGGCTTGTGGATGTGGCTTAGAGGCGGGATCTTGGAAAGACGAACATGAAACTTCATGTTTCATAAAAGGCGAGATATTTGATTACTTAGGTTACTGTTAGATTCTCAAGGACGACTTCGTCTCCAGCGACTCAATTTGTTTCTTTGTTACAGAAATGCCTGTTGAGATTCAATACAAAATGACAAATCTTTAAATATGACTGATATAACTAACTAACTAACTAGATGTCTTACTGAACACGAAGGTTCATCACCGAACTAACCAAAGCCCTCCACCAAACCCTGTCCTGGGCCAACAAAATCCAGTCGCCTTCTACTTACGTAGATATTACGTATAAAATTTCAATGTAATCTATAAGGTCTTAGACGCCTCTGCTTTGGTGAACCGATTTAAAAAAATGTACGACAAAAATATTCCATAGAAATTGCGTGACCTTTGATGCAGGACTAGACAGTTAAAAAATAAATTTTGGAAAAAGAATTCTACGCCTTTTCATAAGCATAAAGTTTTCGAGTTCTTTTCTCTCTGTAGAACTAAAAGTGCTTAAGAGCTCACATGATTAAGGACTTTCTGCCTAAGTTACACATTTATCTACACTACAAGCACAAAATGTAAATTAAATTTATCAAATGAACACGAGAAGTCACAGAACCTGTTCGTTGTTCTACCGCATGCGAAGATCAGGCCTACATCACGCTACCCACAATGCAATGTGCAGGATATTCTATGAAAAGTCGACTGGTACTCAGCTCGTCAAAGAATAGCTCACTTTCTTTACTGAACCAGAAGGTTCATCATCGTGTTCAGAAAGCCCGCCACCAGGGTCTATCCTGAGCCAGTTGCATCCAGTTCGCTCCATTTCCCAAAGATCCATCTTAATGTTATCCTCCCACCTACGCCGAGGTATTCCCAGAGGTCTCCTTCAGGCCTTGTAAACACTCAACTCACCCTAACATCGGGTGAGGACCACAGGCCTCGGAGCTCGTCATGCATTTTTCTCTATTATCTGTCTCACTCCCGTTTTGGGTACAAACATCTTCCTCAACACTCTGTTGTCAGAGACCCTCAGTCTATGTTCCTCCCTCAGAGTGAAAGACCACGTTTTGCACCCATAAATACTTTGCACTCAATATTAGCAATCATTCCCCGGATTTAATCTACTGTTGTAGGAAGATTCGTCGATAATTAGGCTTTTAAATCCGAAATAAAATGTCTTCACAGTTCCCTAAAACGCTTTAATAATGTCGATGTATCAACAGATGTAAAGTTTTAGAATTATTATTCAGAATATAAACCCCACTTCTTAAGATCAATATATTTTTATTAAGATTCTAGGATATGAAACACGTTTTATTCTTCTAAAATTTTAAAATGTTAATCGCCTACTGGATTATTATTTTACTATCAATGATGCCATGAAAAAACAGAAGTCAATCGAATATTAATTGAAATTGTGTTAAAAAGAAGACAAGCCTAATTCTCTTACACGAGTTCACAAATGCAGATGAAAACACGTAAATGTGATGAACAACAATAACAATAAATAGGAATCCCTTACCTCAAACTTTGTTCAGTTGTAAGAGACCACGATGTCCACCGGCAATTACCAATTTAATCCAAACTAAAATGGAGTATCACAGATTTCTTAATAATTCTTATAAAAGATAAGTACTCGTGTTATTCTAAGAGGTTTTTAAGAGCACAAAATTCTCTTCTCTATGACGCACTTCTTCTACAAGCGATTCACAGCTCAGCTCTTTCCGCAATGACGAAAGCGGATTGTTGACGGCAATAATGAAACACAACAATGCCGAGTAAACAGATGACGTAACAATTTGTTTCTTAGGTAATGGAATGGAGTGCAATACGGTTCATTCAGGCTATTATACTGCATGCATATTAAATGAGAAAAGAGCCTTACGGCATGCTCAGCCAATATTGTTGCAGGCGTGGGTTAGAAATTCAAATTGCATTGTTATACACGCAGGTGTTCAAATAAAAATTGACCATTGTCGGTCAATATTTACACATTGTTGGTAGTTGAGAAAACAACAAAGATAATTACTCTAACTTATAATTTGGTTACGTTCAGTCATAATAGAAAGTACTTTCCCTATGAGAAGAGGACACATTTAAAAATAATCGAAAGAGACGAGAAGAAAACTACAATTCCAGTTGCCCTTATTTAAAAATGACGCCCGGCTTCTGTACACTTGATTAATTTTAAAGATGATTTTTGAGGGGCCCGGGCGCTGGGCCAGAGAAAATGTTTCCTTCCTTCGAATCCCGCTAAAGATGTTTCATGTTGCTCGGACAGCAAGTACGAGGGAAGAATGGCGAATTCTGTTTCTTCCTGGGAAATGATTTGACTGACAAAGGTTACAAGCCCGAAAACTGTCTGAGACCCAGAAGATGAATTTGTAAGAAGCTGTCGTATTTCGCCTTAGTAAATACCGCAGAGTCTACTGGTCATGTGTTGACATTGAAGAAGAGACATGGAGCGATTATTCCTTAAGACAAATGAGAGAACACAAGTAGGTCGGAAGTCTGAGAAAAGTGTCCTGGGTTCGACTTCCTTCAAGGGCGGTTCCTTTAACTCCGAAACTAAGCGATACAGAACAATGGCGCCAGGATCAGAGTTTTTTTGCCTCGAAGGGGAGATTACGGAAACAAAGGCCTCGACACTGGGTTCGAATCCTGACTAGAAGAGTGGTTTCTGTTGACAGGAACGCAACCGCGATAAGTGAGCGACGCCAAGGAAAAATTCTTGCGTTTCAGAGAGGAAATTACAGGATCTAAGGTCACATACTCGAATACAGTCCTTGGTTTGAGTCTATCTTAAGATGTTGAAGCAAACTATTTTTTGGACCAAAAACCAATAAAAATGCCGTTTTGGAGACTGGAGTGTCCTAGATACAGCGTCATTCATTAAAAAAACAACGCCAATAAATTGTTGTGTCGATTGTTAAAACTGTTTTCTTTCATGTTGAATTAACGCATACTTTCCTGCGGTTAATTGTTCCCACATCAAAACACCGAATAAATAAAAAATCACGTGACACGATTTACGTGAATTAAAAAATTTAGATTTTCATAATGGGGGATAAAATCACGCACATTAATTTTCAGTTGTATTGATGCAACTCCGTGTCCGCACGATGAGGTCTCTGTACGACCCTTTCTCTGAAGTGCCGCCTCTGTCGGACCCGGTCTCTCCTGTTCCGGATGTCTTGTGGAACGACTCTGAAAATTCGAAAATTACATGGGAGTGACCTGGAAGAAACATGCAGTATGGAGAATCCTGACTAGAAACTGGTCACAGGGATGAGGAGTGTCTGGGATAAAACAAAGAGATCTAATTCCGTCAAGGGAAATAACAGTGCTCGGAAATACACGTTTATAGCATAAAAAATTCACAATATTTTCTTTCTTTCATAAAACGTTTTGCTAGTAAAAATGTATTTTGTTAAAACATTTAAGTGTCTTTCGCACATGCAATAACTGTATGTCCTCTGACAAAAAGTTTTGTGAACACAAGTAGTGTCTCCATCTTCTACCAAGATTTAGCTTCAAGACTAACAGTAATTATGGAGAGTGAAGCACATCAAGGAAGTTACATCAGAGATATTCGCAATAAGCATCGATAAATAATAATAATGGTTCGTCCACAACGGTCAGTGTTTTCGAGACAGTTACTGCACTACCGGGCCACTCTGAATCTTTGCCTGATCGTACCAAATCTGGTGCAGCCTGGGAACTATGGAATGCAGCTCACACAACTGGCGACTACATATCAAACTCCTTTCAACGTCGACAAACCTCTCTCTATAAATCTCCTTACCACTCCTTTCCCTGTCTCCAGCCTTTCTTATCCTCTTACGTCTCCCACGCACTCCCTAACTCCGTCTGCCCCCTCCCCCACTCCATCTTCAGGGAAGAACAAGTACGCGTTAGAACATCAGGTTACAACGTACAAAATAAATTAGACGAGTTCCTATTCAAGACTACAACTTACCAAATACATAACAAAATATTCCACCAGTACGCCAAATGTTACATGACGATCATCTAATCACGTGGCACGTACGTGACAAAGAAATTATCTGCGTTGAGATATCACAATACTTTCAGGGCATAGTAAAGGTCATCAGAACTGACATTCAGCAGAACTCGTTGATGCATATCTGCCCTGGAATGTTCAGTCAGGAGCAGACGACAGCTTCCAAGTCGTGCACAGATTCCAAGGGATTCCGTAACCGACGGCACCGCGTAGCCTGAAATAAAAATATTAAGTCCTGTTTCCTTTTTTTGGCTTTGTCAATATAGGTTATTCAGTGATGGACAATTGGATCACTGTAAATAATAAGTGAGGAAGGAGATGAAAGAGGCTACATCCTAATTTTAGGTCCTGTCGCACAATTTTCATAGAAAGGCCGAAGAACACAAAAACCTAATGCATAAATCTTTAAAAAAAATTACTGATAAGCTTCACACTGTGTGAATCTTGCAATCATTATGGACAGTAAGCAAAAAAAAAAATGCATCTATTTGTGAATGTAACAATAAATATTTCCGTTCAATTAGCGATAAATAAGACCTACGTAATATTACGGCTCTTGAATTGTCAACAAGGATTCACTGTATACTAAGAGAAACATTTTAATAACCACAATCTTCAATCTAATATAGTAACAATACTTTAACGCATTATGATATTAAAAAACAAAAGCACAGAACTCCATTCCTGTCATTACTCCGTTTCAGTGTGGCAGTTACAATCGTCATTAAAATCTGAGAGGTCATTCATTGAACGGTTTTGCCCAGAGACATTAATTTTTAAAAAGTGTCCTTCAGTCCCTCCAGGAAAATTTCAGATAGTTAATTAAAATAGCTCATGACCACCTCCTCCCAATCCTTATTTGAAAAAAAAATACGTAGTTAACATAGCATTGTAATATAAACCACGAAACATACTGCTCGCCTATTGCAGCCCATTTTGTACATATTTATCCATTTTCACCTACTGTATTCATTTTGATGAAACAAAACTCACCATCAAATACGCACAGAGTCCTTAACTGGATATAAACTTTGTCGAATACAGTCTCCTCGACACCCGTGCGCTGAATCTCAGATGCGACTGCTTGCAAGAATAGCTGTTCCATTTTGCTACAGTACCTGCAAAGATATAATTCTTGTCTATACGTCACATTTTTCATTCCGAAGTTTCAGCCGAAACATAGAGGCGGGAGAAGACGATACACGCATCAGTGCTTTCCCATTTGTGAAAAGCTGACTTACAAGGTTCGACTGATGACTTTTTTGAAAACATAATCAGAATTCAGTAACATGAACCCACTGTCTAGCTGAGTAACTTCTCAAGAAAAGGTCGTAAGCATATAATTATCTGACGAAGATGGCTGTGTTCTGGGTTGTAGCGCCACGTAGTCTGGTATAAATTTACCAATGTTTCAGAGGTTGCCCTAATGATGGAAGCAGCAATGACATCTGAAACGGCGGTAAACTTCAACCAGACTACGTGGCGTTACGACCCAGAACACATCCATCTTCTTACTCACAACCATGAGAACCTCAAATCCTACTCAGTTACCTGATGACTTGAACTTTTGTGGAAGCAATCATTTCAGCCAATGCTTGGTCCACATGCTGCATTGCTACTGTTCCATCACTGCCCTCGGCGTCCCCTTCGGCAAACTCAGTCGCTCGTCGGCAGATGTCTAAGGCTCGCCTTGCGTCTCCTGACACAGCTGCCACCTTTCTGTAGCAAACAGTACTCATTAATCATTTCATTGCTTCTTGAATATTTTTAAAATTTACATTTGACTGACAGTTCAGTGGGCGTATAAATGCTACATTCCTCTCCTTAGGCGAGATTCACATTGAAACAACTAGCAACAGGCAGTAATAAGGCTACTAAAGAATAACAAACTATTGAGCTGGTGCAAATTACAGAAAATGTTTTATGCAACTATCATTTCATTCATTAATGTTTACATAAAATATGAGTGTGATTGATCTGGTGAGAATGTACAGGTGATACGATACCATGCATCGCCTATCACTTGTTGCCTGTTGCTTCAGTGTGAATCCTGCCATAAACTTTATTGTCATCACCATCAATCCATTCGGAACTATAAATGTAGCAATTAATTATCAATTATAATTCAAATGGCATATTCTCCGTTATGCAACCTACAATTCAATACCCACGAAACAGCTCAAAAAATCAGAATTATAAAGACAAAAATTAATGGAAATGTGAAGGAACAGAGATTACATCAAGCAAACACTACCACTGTAAATGATGGTAGAGTATCACATCAAAATAACAGGAATTAGCGTATAACGAATGAGCTGACAGAAATGTTTTTAGAAAGAGGATATCAAAATTTATGTTTTAACAAGAAATGCAAGTAGAAAATTAGAAATAATTTTAATAAATATACAGAACATTAGAAACGAAATTATAATTTGTAAATCCTTCATAGTTTTTAACATATTGTTTGAACAAGATGGTAAAATATTTTGGCTAGGGGATGTTTTAGCATAATTATGAATTGAATGGTATATAAGACAGTTAGAGAACTCATTAACAATAGCACTTCACCTACCTAGCCACTAGCTGAATGGCATCTGGGTCAAATGCCTGCAGACCTCTAAGCCGCGCCATAACGATCTCCTGTAACTGCTTATGAGTATACGGGTGAAACGTAACTCTCGTCAGACCCTAAAAACAAAGCATCTGTTTCAAAACTTCAAGCACAACTGTCCAAAACACACTGAGAGAAGAAGTTCTCATAAAGTTATACAGTGTAATCTTTATTGCAAGCATCCCACATTTCTTATTTTTTTACACCCCTCTCATCAATCTTTGAGATATAACGGCATATACTGCAATATAATATTCACTAAAGTCTCAATAGATTAAAAATATTACTGTCTAATAAAGCAATGTGTCATCAAATAAAAACTGACACAAACCTCTTACATATACACAATAAAATTCCATTGCAACGACTTCGTGGCCTTCAAAATTAAACATGTTGCCAAAAAAAGTGACTAGTTCTTGTAAATCATATTGCACTCATGCAAAAATGTAGCATAAAAACAAAGACTGTGTGCTACTTCTCAATTCCGTGCCTTATCGGACATTAAGTATTTCTTTCGCTGTCAAAAGTTATGGCTACTGACGAACATCAAAATTCACAGTAACAATAACCATGAAGGATAGTTTTTTGGTACATATAACATCTTTTCCAAAAATATCAGGAAGCATATCAATTTTATACCCCATAATAACTCTGCTTTCGAACATTCTTCGAGCTTCGATTTACAAAACCGAAAATAAACCCGAACGAAACAACCAGCTACAGAGAATGACAATGGGACTTCAGAACAACAATTTGTTTGCACCTACAGTTTCCAGTGAAACTAGTACTACCAGTTCGAATAAACTTAATTAGCATTTTTCAGCACAATTTAGAACAGTAAAACTGTGTCTCAGCCCCACTAAGGGACATGAAGATAAAGTTCCAGACATTCTACACTTCAGTACATGGTTAGCTTCATGCTCTGTGCTCTGACCACCTTTAACCCCATGAAAATGGCCCCTATTACCCACTGGATAGGAGATTGGGTGGGTCTCAAACCTGTTCTAAACGTAATAGAAATTAGATCAATTTCTGCCTCTGCTAGCAATTAATCACAACTTACCAGTCTACTGGTCACTCGCCCCATCAGCAGCCTCTCCGGTAAGTCCATCGTGTTGGCAATGGTAAGCACAACAAGACGTGATGCAGCTTTTGTAGGCCAGTCTAACAAGTTGTACACGACATCTTGCCGTCTGGTCCACAGCAGATCCAACTGTAAAATAATTTCATCAAACTGCACTGCGTGGCAAACACGGAATTTTCACTAGCGTCCACTTGTAACACTGGTTGCGAACAGAACTGCCTCGACTCTTAATCTATAATTTCAACTTCCAGAATAGATGTATCACTACTGAACTCAAAAAAATCAATGTCTTCAACTTCACAATCACAGCAGTCGAGTCATTTTTGAATTCCATGTTACCAAATAACATCAACAACTTGAAAGAATGTAACAGGCCAATTACTACACAAAGCATAAATAGGTAGCATCTGTCTGACTAGTGAACACTGGCTCCATATAGTGAGAAGAAGCTCAAGTTATTGCCAGGAATGAAAGAAATTTAGAGAACTCGTAGCGCCACCTCCCTCAGAATACAAACCCAGACATTTTCAACAATTTGAGAACCTCAAGTCTGACATTATAAAAAAATTGTTTCAATGATGCACATTGGAACAGTAATTAGTTTAAGTTAGTTATAGTTTTTTTCATTATTATTTACAATTTAAATAGACCTGTGTGGGCAATCACGCAAAAAGACAATTAAGACATGCATTACAACCAATGGAGTAATTCCCACTTGGCTTTTCATTACCCAGTCGCAAATACAATAAACGAAAACAGTAAATACAAGAAAAGAAACCCCAAAACTTGTATTTCTAACAAAGTCTCAGATTAGTTTATGATAAACATTTCTACAAAATCTATAGTATAATTCAAAAGGAACTGTGACTGGTTACCTCATCTACCAAAAGTAACGTAGTTATGCGTCTGTGCGCGGTACGAGAAAATCTGCGCTCCAGTAGCTGCTGCGCTTGTTCTGCTGTCACAGTCTGACCAGTGAGCGCATTCAGTAACTGCACGTACGCCTGCCTCGGTTCCGTAAGCCACATACCATTCAGCTCTATAAACTGGGGGGGAAGGAGAAAAAAACACTATATGAAGCGGCAGTAGGATTATATAGAATTAATTGAATAACACATTTCCTTTCAAAAACTGTGCGTGCGTAATTTTCCACTGAATATTACTTCCATGGCTCCGATAATCAACATACCATTTATGTTGTTTCCAGTTATAATCTCTAACTTTCTATTTTTTGCTTGGCTCTCAAAGGCAAGGGAATCCATTTCCTGTAACCATCCACAGGGCAGGAATCCATTCATTCCCAATCATAGAGATCAATATGGACCCCAAAGGATGGTAATACACGGTATTCACAAAGACCTGTCTTTGTCAGAGGTCAGGGACATGAAAGGGGTGCCAGGACACGGCAAGTAACAAATGCGAAACATTTGACACGAGATTTCAGTACCTCAGTGTAAGATCACCAAATCTCGTACTTCAAAAATTAAATTACAATGACCTGAGCACTTACCATCTGTAGTTTACTTTGTGTGTCATCCTGCATTGGTAAACTAGGTTCTGGTTTAGGAGAGACAGAGCGAAAGTGGCTGAAGGGAAGTAGACGGAATCATCAGAAGGAATGTGGAAAGACAGGAACAACACAACTCTGAAAAATATAAATACTATTATGAAGAATTTAACATGTCACACAGCAAAATTGTTTTTCTGTTTGTCCTATAAGTAAAAAAAACAAAAAATACAATGAAATATTTGGATTTCAACAATTGGGTGACGGAAGCAGCAAATATGGCTGGTTCAATTTACCTTAAAATCTGGAATGTCCCTTCGTGACACTGCCTCCTGCAAACTGCGAACAACCTCCTGTACTGTAGCAGTCTTCCCAGTCCCAGGCACACCGCTTATATACATACACCTGGAACATAATTAACAATTTTTTACTCATATCCAGCAAATTCATTTGACGTTATTTCTTCTGAGGTTTGCATTTTCTTGAAAGAAATTCAATACCCATGTTGAGCTCCTGCGTATACTTTTAGCCCCTGTTTACGGTTCGTTACAGGCCTCCAAGCTACAACGGTTACGACAGAAATCACATTCTTGTTTCATTTCACCCTGTCAGGGTTTTGAGAGACAGACTATGTGAACGAAAAGATCAAAGAATGAACATAGTAGACATGTAGAATGCTTATGAAAAAAGTAAAAAGAGAAATGGCACTGGTCATGTTTCCTTCAACTTTTTAATTTCTGAAAACTGACATCAATCACTGAAGAATCCATTTATCTAATGTAACTCACCCACCAGCCCCATCCAAAATCTTGCCTTCGATGAAACGATAGATGTTTTCAAACTCCTTTTCGCGGCAAGGAAGGGACATGGGTATTGCAGCAACATGTAGCCTAGAACGTGCCTCCCCCAACACACTACAGGGTGTTGAAACGGAACTGGCACGAGTAGGAACAGACGGAGTCAGCAGTGCACGTCGTGCAGATCCCTGCATGAAATAACATGTAGGATTGAAGGTTTTCACAGAGGTGAGTCAGAAAGTAGCCGTCTTCTGGGTTGTTGCGCCGTGTAGTCCTGTAGAAGTTTACTGACGAATCAGAGGTCCATCAGGGCAATGATGGAGGCAGCAAGGATCTCTGAAATGTCGATAAACTTCTACCACACTACATGGCGCAACATTCCAGAAGACAGCTACCTTCATGAAATAACATATCCTAATACAGATCTAAATGGAAAATTCAACAAGGAATCAGGTTAGAATCACAAACTCAAGTTTTCATTAACTTCCTAAAACAAGCTTCATATGCAAACAAATAGTACAGAAAAAAGCCTTGTACAATGTATATTAATTATCCTTTAGTATATTTTGTATTGTCTGCATGTCTTTTTTACAAGTACGGCGTTTCAGAAGCTGGTTTTATTTCTGTTTTCAGGTGACCACTAGAAGGAATAAATACTAATGTTACATATTAAGTATAGCAGATGACTCTGAGGGGTTAAAACATTTCAAGTACTGATACATTTAGTATTTTGACATATTCAGCAGACCACATACCCTCTTAGAAACTGGAGTGGTAAATGCCTGTGGTGTAACTCCTGACTTTGGAGTATTAGGAGTGACCGGAGTCACATAAGTATCTTGCTTCCTCAATGAACTCTTAGGAGTGACTTTAGTCCTGTCCATAACTTGA